TCTCTCATCACCAGCTACCAACAAATTGCCACCAGAGACACCGTGTCTGAGACCCTGAGAGCTCATCTGCTGCGACAGCTGCTCGATATCCTACAGTGCATTAGTATACTATCTGCAATGCCCAGCATAAGTAACTCACATCTTCCACATCTTCGCCTCTTGGTTCGTCGTCAATGACGAGATCACCACCTCTGCCTTCATTTTCTGATTCCTGGTCTTCATTCATGTGTCTGGCCCTCTTAATCCCTTCACCTTCCAGCCTCTCTTCCTCCGCACCTCTGTCCATCTTCTTCAGACGGCTCTGGTGGTAATCTCTGGTGCCCTTGCTTACGAGCTGGTTGCAGCATTCGCAGATAACCTGGCGACTTTTATAGTTCCTGTCCTTGTACTTCTCGAAGCCGGCATGTTGGGTGGTCGGTGAGCGTGAAGATGTTCGTTTGTCGTTTTGTAAGATTGCTCGTCGGTTGGTGGCTTTTGCCCAACTTTTGACACCAACTATTGCCGCAATATTGCCGGTCCTCTGTCAGCGGTCAGCCAGCGGCCTGCGCCGCCGGGGTGACGTAACCTCAATACGCTCGGACGTCCGACGCGAATCAGGAACAGTTGACTCACCTCGAGTCACCTCCCCCCATCTATCTGCATCCAATTTGCATCTCTTTTTCTCTTTCACATCTATACAAGCTACTTGTGATCCGTCATCTCTGGAATTCTCTGGCCGTAAGTTCAAACCCTGTGTTTGTTTGACGCATCTGACACCCTCTAGGCGGCGATCAGGAAGGCCGCCGACCTCCACTTGGGGGACAAGGTCGGCCAAATCCTGCTCTCCCAAGTGGAGACAGACGACCTAGCCCTCATCAAGCATGCGGTAAGTTGCTCTACACCTCATTCTCGCACAACAAGGCTAATATATTATTAGATGAGAGCCAAATTCCCAATCCTCTTCGCCGATGGCTCTCGCTTCGTGCGAGAGTGGCCCATCGAGTCTCTCCTCAAGCAGCGGCTTGAGAACTCCAAGAAGGAAGCCCGGCGGAAGGCGCAGGAGACCACTGGCGTTTAGTATCTGGTCATCATATCTGCATGTATCTGATGCGAGTACTCAAATAAACCTGGAATGGCGGTTAATTCTACCCTATATTCATACTCCAGGCAGGTGATTATAACCCTCAAATATACCCAATAGGCATTGTCTTTGATCATCTCGCGGAGGACAACACTGTTCAAGAAGTCAGCTTGGTTAGGAAAGAGAGGTGGGATCATACCTCTGACTCTGAAACATATAAGCGGGAATATAAAAGATCATCCCGTCGCTCGAAACGACTTTCAACGCTTGATCTGCGTTCGGGTCGTTCCATCTTTGCGAGATGTTGAGCTTCACTTCGTCTTCTTTGTTGTCGGGGTCGCCCATGGTAAGTGATTTTGCAATGGTCTGTAATGCGGCTCTGGAAGGTGCAAAGCTGAAAGAATGGACGGCGGTTAGAAATGACTGGGAAATGGCGGCTTGTACGGGAAGAAGCGGTGAGCGTCACCATCGGTGATCGGCGGCAGATGGCGCAAGCAAGGCGTAAGGTTGATCTAGTCGTAATGCATGCACTCGATACGATGATTGTAGCGTGCTAGGCGCCTGCACGCCCCATGGACTCTTCTAGACTTACTCGCCTCCGTCTTCGTCTTCGTCCTCGTTACCTTTGCTCGTTCTCGTCCTCTCCTTCTCTTCTAGTAAGGCTGTCCGACGTACGTCGACCCATATTCGCTGCCCTGACTTTCTTCCACCCGTCTGCTCTTTCTTCTTGTCTTTAGCCTTTCGTACGCTTCGCTGGTCGACTTGTACCCTTATTCGCTTCGTGCCGTAGACGTATCACGTAGTCGCTCCATCTATCGTCGCTTCACTCATTCATGTATAAAAGAAAGGTTGGGTGTGGGGACAGAGACCTCAAACAACTACTCTTTGACTCTCTTCTCTCCCCTCCTCTTCTTCTCTGACCTCTATCACTCCTTCCAAGACCACAGCCAAGCACAACCGCGTCTTCCTCTTCACGTACTGGGACTCAACCCGCAACTACACTTGGTGACAACTTCAGCTGTCACCCCAGAGCAGGCCTGATCACCACACAATGCCTGGGTCAAGGAGCAATGAAGCAGATCTCGGCGACGCCGCGCCACTCACCACCTTCCAACAGATTGTAGGCTGCATAATGTGGATTTCATCCGCGACCAGACCAGACATCAAGTTCGCTACGCAGTATCTCTCCCGGTACGCCTCGACTTCTCGAAAGAATTACTACAATATAGCCCTCAGAGTTGTTGCGTACCTCGCTCAGACCAAACACCATGGCATTCGCCTGGGGGGTGGAGACAGGGTGACCCTGGAGGAAGGCTCGGCCGATGCGGACTACGCCGGGTGTGAGGACACTTTGCGCTCGTCGACTGGACACGTCTTAAAGCTCGCGGGATCTACGGTGGATTGGCAGTCGAAACGGCAGAAAACGGCAGAAGACAGTCGCATGGTCTACACTAGAAGCTGAGTACGTCTCGTTTAGTGAGTCAGCCCTAGAAGCCATCTGGCTGCGGACTCTCCTCAACGAAATGGGATTCAAGCTTGAACCTACGACGATCCACTGCGACAACAAAGAGGCGATCTCACTGATAGATCGCCCGGCACACCATACGAGATCAAAACACATATGACGTGATCCACCATAAGATCAGAAAGCTAGTCCATGTTGGAAGGTTAGGCTATCCAAAGTAGTTTGCATATGAAGAAGAAGGACTATGTACACGAGAACATGAAAACCTATGAGAGAAACTCTCGCGCGCCTGATTCCCTTCTTCGCCTATTTCTACCACTACAAGTTCACGCCGGGATACCACAGCAAAGTGTAGGACGGAAGAAGACTCGAGAGTGTTGTCGGTGAAGGAGAGGGTTTTTGAGGGGTCGGCGGAAGTGGGTGTAGAGTCGTTGGTGGTGGGGAGGCCGATCTCTTTGATCATCTCGCGGAGGACAACACTGTTCACGAAGTCAGCTTGGTTAGGAAAGAGAGGTGGGAGCATACCTCTGACTCTGAAACATGTAAGCGGGAATGTATAAGATCATCCCGTCGCTCGAAACGACTTTCAACGCTTGATCTGCGTTCGGGTCGTTCCATCTTTGCGAAATGTCCAGCTGCACTTCGTGTTGGCTGAACGCTGACTGCCACGCCGGTGACAGTGAAGCCCAGTGTCTTTCCGTGCGGCCAGCCTCTTCTCTGGAAAGCACACCATTAGCCTTATCGTGGGAAGGGTGGAGAGGGAAAGTCTTACCCGACGAGATAGACAACAATAGATAGGACAAAGAGGAATAGAGGATTGATTGCTAATGGGTGTGTCAGGTCTCGGAAATGGTGCAGAATGTACACCCAGAGAACGTACCCGTGGCCCAGACTGATGTTGCCCGGTGGACATCGAGCAGTCTTTTGGCTTCAGTCCGCGCTGCGACGGCTTCTCCTGGAGGCAACGAGCGAGAGTCAATCATCCTGTATTGGGCAGCTAACCAGCGGTCGTACGCCCGACTGTCCTGATCGGCGATGTCTTTGCAAAGATTAAGCAGCCATCCGTGGAACCCGTCATCCCGACCAGGCCAGGCAGTGGGAATTATGGGAACCATTTCCCGCCAACGGGGGACGGGCACAAGGAAGCGCGAGGCGGGGCGGTCGGAGTCGACGGGCTGGACATGACGAAGGCGGTATCCCGGACGTGAGAAGGTCGGAAGGTGGATAGAAGGCTCTCAGGGAAGAGGGGAGTTGAACAGGAGACGCGAGGATGTTGAGAGGGGTGCGGTGGAGGAAGGGAGGAAGTCGGCGGCGACCTGGTTCATGTTCAGGTGCTCTCTAACCAAACGCGTCAGTCTCGTGATAGGTCAAGTTCAGCCGTCTACCCACTTAGGCCTTGGACGAGGAGCGCTACGGCCCACAGGAGGTTGATGGCCAGCCACACCAAAGACCACCGGCGGGCCCAGAAACAGGGGAGCGCGTCAGCCTGGAGGGGCCACTCGGTCAACAGCCAAATCGGTTTGACCGCTGGGATGACGCTAGCCACCACGCCGGTGACGGTCAGCCCCAAAATTGCCCGGTGCGGCCAGCCTCTTTTCAGAAACGCACGCCATTAGCCTTATCGCGGGAAAGGGGGAGGAGAAGGTGTTACCCGGTGAGACAGACCGCCATGGCTAGAATGAAACCCAGAACATGCACGAAGACTAATGGGTGTGTCAGGTCTTGGAAATGGTGAAGAATATACACCCAGAGAACGTACCCAGGGCCCAGACTGAGCCTGCCCGGTGGGCATCGATCTCTTTCTTGGCTTCGTTTCTCGCTTCGTTCGCTTCCTCAGGAGACAATGGGCCAGCGTTGATCCTGTCGTACTCAACTTGGATCCACTTCTCGTAGGCGTCTTGATCTTGGCGGGCGATGTCTAAAGACCACGCCATTAGCTTTATCGTGGGAGGGAAGGGGGTGGGAAGGTGTTACCCGACGAGATAGACAACAATGAATAGGACAAAGACGAGTGTTGGAATGATGGCTAATGGTTGTGTCAGGTCTCAGAAATGGTGCAGACTGTACACCCAGAGAACGTACCCGTAGTCCATTTTTTCCTTGGCTTGGCTCCGCGCTTTGTTGACTTCTTCGGGAGACACTGATTTTGTTGTACTCAATCTCGATCCACTTCTCGTACGTTTCTCCATCCTGGCTGGCGATGTCTTCAAAAAGACCACGCATCCATTCATGGAACCCGCCCGCCCCGTCAGGCCAGGCAGTGGGTGTGATGGGGTCCAGTTCCTGCCAGCGGGGAACAAGCATGTGGAAGCGCGAGAGAGTGGCGGGGTGGGCGACTGGCTGAGGGGATGGGGGGATGGCATTGTGAGGGGTTGCTGTGTGTAATTATCGATGTGTGAGAAAAAGTGAGGAAAGAGAGAAACACGTTGCAGCGTTGTTTGGGTTGTCGGTGTTTGCAATCAACATCGTCGGCACACTCCGCTTTACCTCCATCAACCATGTCATTACCTCCTTACCCGTCGCTGCTGCGTGTTGGCGATTTGTGATGCATGGTCATGAGATACATACCATTAAATGCTCTATAGCGGGATGCTCTATATCGGGTGCCACAGTCAAAGTGCGCCGTGCTGACACTGCCTTCATGACGCGTGCGACGCGCGCTCATCATTCAACATGGGCGTCGACGCACTTACGGAACATCAACCTGCAAGAAATGTCACAATTGCAATTCAACGACAACAATGTTGCAACAATGCAAAAGCAATGCAATGCCGTCATACTCGTCTACTGATAGCTGCATCTCCTGACGCACCACGACTACATCCTACAAACAACAAGTGAATGTGTATACCCCCGTGGTACTGTATATAATCACGTGAACAATGGTAAGTGATTTCCTGTAATGTGGTTCTGGAAGGTGCAAAGCTGCAAGAATGGACGGCGGTTTGAAGTGGCTGGGAAATGGCGGTTTGTGCGGGAAGAAGCGGTGAGCGTCGCCAGTCACCCGGGCCCGTGTTTATAAGGAGCGTCATTAACCATGGGCGTTATCAACCATGGACTCGGGTATGTTCGTCGGTGATCGGCGGCAGATTGCGCAAGGTAGATCTAGTCGTAATGCATGCACTCAATACGATGATGATCAATAGCTCTCAATACTTCTCAAGAAGAAAGCTGCTCTGCCCCCCTCTTTTCCATGTTTATGTTTACAGTGGGAGCAGTAGCTGCTCCTGTAAGACCTACCCCGATTACTGAAGACACAAGGCAGCTCACACTCATCCGCGCATGATAAAAGACCGAGCGCTTTGGTGTACTTTGGGGGTATCTCCTCCCAAGCTTCCTTTGGGATGCTATTCAGATCAAACTCGGCATCCGAGGGAAGGAATCCCCACCTCGCGTCAGAAGGTCTCTGAGTCTCAAGGCACCCAGTAGTCGATTTGTAGCCTTCAATGACCTTTGCTGTGATATGTGGCAGGTCATGTTTGGCCCCAATGACAAAAACATCAAGGGGTTTGGTATAGGATTCTTGTCGCCCCATGGACGCCATGCAATATAACAGTAATTCCAGAGCCCGCATCGCCTCAGGACAATCCCATTTCTTCGCAAACAGCATCGTGTGGTGATATGTCATCGGGAAATACTCGGTGGGATTCTTCGATAGAGGTTATCAAGCGGTTGCCGCTGATGGTGTGAAGAAAAAAGGTGATGACGGAGGAGGCTTCGATAGTGTCATCGGTAAAGGCAATGGTCTGGGATGGGTCGGCGGAAGCGGGTGTATAGTCGTTGGTGATAGGGGATGAAGAGGATGGGGAGAGGTCTTTGATCATTTCGCGAAGAGCAACGCTATTTCCACAATCAGCTCGATCATGAAAGGGGTGTAATCGATAGGAACGTTGACACACCTATGAGCTTTCAAGAGGTAGGCGGGGACGTAAAAGATCATGCCGTCGCTGGACACGACTTTTAACTCGCTTTTAACGCTTCATCCACAGTTGAGTCATTCCACTTTTGGGATATTTTTGGCTGTTGATGGTCTTGCGTGTAGTCGGTGTCGTCCATGGGGATAGAGATGATGCGCTGATATGAGATCCTAGCTGTAAAGAAAAGTTATTCGAGGTTCTTCAGAAACGGCGGGCGAAAGGAATTGCGCGACAAGCAGCAGGGAGTGCGACGACGAGCCAAATTGAGGCGAGCGTCGTCAGCCTCCTGTTCTTCAGTCTTTGGCACTTATTGCGGTAAATCAACCCCATGCTTTTGCTGGAATATTCTTTGCTAGCCATTCAGATTACCAAAAAGTCTCCACGACAGTGTGACAGATAAAGGAGAAGCTGCATTAGCGGCGCTTCTTCTAGGAAAACAATTCTTCGGGCAGGCCGACGATAAAGTCTCGTCAATCAAGACGATGAAGATTGAGTCAAATTATGCAGTTCATCGGACCTGATATGCCTTACTTCGGCGACCGCTGTTCATCTCAGACTTCGCCCGAGCCGACGCCTTTGCGACGTTGCTCTCCCGGACGCGCCCGCTCTGATCGATGATGTTCGGTGCAAGCAGCTGCCAGACTGTCTGCCACCACCGCAGCCTCGTGAGCCAACCCACTGTCTTTCCATTTGTTCCCACCTCTTGTATATGGTATGTGAATCAAGGGCAGCCTAGAGATTGCATGCATACAGTAAAACCAACGTGGCGAACCAAACAACCGGTCCAGTCAACCACAGTCACCCCAGGCACGGCTGTTGTTCTTCCCGCTTGCGTTTTCCGAATTTCACCCATCTTCTGCTTTCAGATACAAGCATCACCCAACATGCCCCAAACGCGACAAGCTCGAGTCTCTGCACATCCCGACACCGGTTTGAATCTCGCCACCATATTCCCCTCCGAGATCTGCCAGCTCATTCTCGAATACCTCCTCCTTCTCGCCCAATCCGACAATAACCTCTCCCTCCGCCTCATGTACACCTGTAACGACTTGCTCAACACCGTCTCGCCCTATCTCTACAAGCGCGTCACCCTACACGCGGGCAATGCGGACGCATTCTTCTACGGGCTGGCAGATGGCAAGATGAAGAGGGGCGAAGTCAAAGGGTGGCAAATGAAGAACGAGGGTCGGCTGGAGGGAAAGAGTGTGGTTGCGAGGCGCTTGATCTGGCTGAGTATGGTCCGAAGGGTGGAGATTATGGATTCCCCGGCACTTGTGAGCTGTGTTACAGCTGTGAAAGCGCTTCTCAAGAGACCCTTTCCCACTCGCCCAACAGACCTTCTGTCCCTCTTCTTTTGGCGAGCACACGAGAGCAACGTCCATGAGAAGCCAGTTCTACGGATCTCCACCAGTGTATCTCCTCCCACCTCGATGATTCATGGTCGCAGCCGCTTCAAGAAATGGCAACAGCTTGCTCGGTTACCCACTCTCGAGCTGGACTTGATGGGCCCGGGCGACGTCCACTTTTACCACAATATCGTGCTCCAGCGCGAACTGTCGCGGAGGGCTGAGAATGTGATCATCAAAAACTTGGCTCACCAAACCCTTCGTCGTATCGAACTGCTTTCAGGATGTCCCCTTAAGAGCATATTGGTTATTATGGAGAATGGTGGCGATGATCATCGTAAGCTTCTGGAAGATTTTGCTGAGTGAGTCTTTAGTTCGCAGAGTATATGATTCCTAATCCACTTCTTACAGGTATTTCGCAGCCCGGGGACACACCAACAGCGTCCTTGTGACCATCAAGGGCTACCAATACCAGGCGAACGAGTCATCTTTCGAAATCGCGAAACTCATGAAGGAGGCGTATGTCGCACGTCGCGCAGCACTGTCGTACTGGTCCCACAGTAATGTGGGGCGAGGGGTGGATTTTGAGGTACTATGAGAAGGTGATGCCTCATGCGTACGTTCTGATGGCTTCTTAACAAATGTCGGTAGAGCTGACTCGGATTCTCAGTTCAAGTTGAGCGATCGATTGCGCATAGGTCCCTTTGTCCGATACCTTTCGAGCTTCCCATGCAGTACCCCTGTGAATATGTCTCTATGTCGCTGAAACGTATCATGAATTCTCCTTAGTCAGACAGCGAGATGTTAGGCATAATGGTGATCCCCCAATTTTCCATACAGAGACTTCGTATGACATGTATGTCCCTTATCAGCGCAAGAGTGACACGCATTATGACCGAGCTCGCCTTAAAACACGATGCATCAGTTTAACAAGAAGATGATATATCCAGAAGTGTACCTGTTGCCAGAGTCCGTTTCGTCCAATCACTACTCAACGCCTGCTCATGGCTCCGATGATAGATCCCCGAGCTTCTTCCCATGACTCTTCTTCCTCAACTGCAACTCGCTCTCACTGATAGGGACATCCCCCGGAAACCGATACAGCTCGTACTCAACCGGATCCGGCCCCCACTTATCCCACATCGCAAACCACCGATCCTCGAAACCTTCTTCTTCGTGTAATTCCAGTATCTTCTTGACGTAAAAGATGTATAGCGAACTGAAAGGTGATTCACAGTCATAATGAGCGTCGAGCGGAGCCCAAGCCCAATAGCCCATGCCTTTGAGCATCCATCTACGAGAGAGAGGTTTACCGGGGTTGGTTATGAGGAATTTGTAGTTGGGTGGGAGACGGGGGTGGGCAAAGGGCAGATAACCAATCCGTTCCCAGGAACTGATATGCTTCATGACAAAGCTGAGTTCGTCTACCATTGGAATCAGTGAATGTACAAGGGACTTGACTAGTCGGAGAGAGACTTACCCCAATAGGCTTCGTACTATTCCAAAGCGGAAGATTAAGCTGCAGATACTGCTTTACCGGATACACGACTTACTTTACGGAGCAGCTCAGAGATGGTCCCTAAATCTTCTGTGTATTCCTGCTCAAGACCCCAGTCTTGTATTGATGATTTGAGGCCACCTAAAAAAGCGACTTTCCGACGAGAAAGGGCCCATGCCTTGCAGAAGTCTCTGCGGGATATCTTTGAACGCGCGTCAGTGCTTCGCCACCGGAATTGAGAGCACATACCGCAACACCTTCAGGTCCCTTGAACCGGACAATATAGTAATGGGAAGCCCAATTGTCACTGAGTACATCGAAGCAACAGCTTTCGGAGTTTAAAGACCCGCGATGCAGGATATCATTATACGGGCTGGCGGTATTGGAGATGAAGCGAGGGCAGGTGTCGTTGTCTTCGAGCTCGTCATAGAATTGCTTGGCGCGAAATATTAATCGGGAGACCATCCTTCGAGATCTGGAAAGATGCAGAACAGAATTGTAGACGGATTTGTCTCCTGACGCTGATTCGCTTCTGCTGCTCCACGTGACCTTGCGTTGATCGAGCGTCGAGTCTGATGTTCTGCACATAGGGTCTGCGTGCCAGTCGTATGCATGCACGAACACTGAAGACTACTGACCTCTGAAGGGCATACATGGATCGTCATTTCTGTGAGCGTAGCGTACTCTACCTTGAGTGATGCAGCAGTTGATAGATGTGGCGGTGTGTGGCGGGCGTCGCGTGTGCCGCTGATGGTGCGTATGAGGGCGTTTACTTCCTCCGTTTCTTATCTCCAAACAACGCTTTCAGTTGCATCCCATCCCTCTTCTCGTTCTATTCCTCGCCACCCACGACAGCACTGCGCCACCCACCATCATCACGCCAGACTCAGCTTCGCCCATATCCCCCAACGTCTCTCTCCGCTGTCACGACGCTGTTTCGATCCTGCCCACCACAGGTAGTGAAGGTTCATGAGGTTATTGCTGGAAAAGATTGCTGGGCTTGTAATCTGTGGAGACTGAAGATCCCAATGCCAATATTTCTCAGGCACTCTCGTGGCGTGGTCGTCGGGAGAGCTTGAGCTGGTTATCGGGTATGTATTCTTCTGAGAGTCAAGTCTGTGATACTGCTGACATCGTGTTAGGAGCCAGACTGCGGCTGACTTCAATACTAGTCTTTGGTTGTCTGTGATGACCAGCGATGCGCCCTTTATGTGGTCATCATGTGAGGAGCCGTCGATTTTATCTGTTCCCATCGTTGCTCAAACATACCGCAAGATGTATCCATGATTCTGTATCCAACATTATCTGCTGCCAAAGACCTCTTAACACTGCTTCAACACCCTCTGGTCATCCCAAACACCGCCCACGCCGACACCCTTCCGTTTCTCTCTCGAAACGGTTCCACCGTCCAATCTATCCATGGTCTATCCCGTTGCTGCTTGCCGGAACCCAACTTCGGTACCCCCATGATGAGGTCTCTGACTTCGGCGTCTATTTCGGTAAAGCGACACAGGGTACGGCGAGTATCATTGGGGTTTGTACTGAGATTATAAGGGGGCAGGAAAGGCAGATACGATTCCTGAGAGATCATAAGCTTTGCAGTGCGTACTCGAAAGCATAGGCTCACAGCTTCGTGCCCACAAAAGACAGTCAGCTCAGTATCTCCTTCACACAATGTCACCCAGAACCTATACTTCCACTCTACCGCCCCTTCCCCACACTCTCTACATCCCACAGCCTTCACTGTCTTCTCTTGTTCCCTCAGAACACTTTCCGCATTTTTAATCCACCGCTTGCAGCTCTTACACCACGCCCAGACACATACACTCCCGCCTTCTTCATTTTGGTCATATATCTTGCCCGCCCACGCTATTGTCCGTCGTGGCGGCGTCTCGTTAATTTTGCTGTTTGTGGACGCGATGCGGCGAAGAGAGGAAATGGGGTATTCGGAAGGGTGGCGGAAGAGGGTGTGGAAGGCGGGAGAACAGTCTCGGGGGAGAATGTGGGTACTCGAATCGTTATATCGAGTAGCAGCAGCTACAGCGTTTGACGGTTGATGTATCGACGTTCGAGAAAGGTCGGCAGTGTTTTGAGCGGAGTTCTGGGCTGGAGGATACTGGTTACCAGTTTTTAGCGAGGCGATCCTTCTACAAGACAACCATCAGTCTGTGCCCCTTTCTGTCCTCTCAGGCCGGGTATAAGACTTACTGTAGGACATTTCTCGCCTCATGTTCCATTACTCCCATCACGCTTTTCGCCCTGTAAGTCTCCCCTCGCACTTCTTGTGCTTTCCACTCCCAAGAGTAACGATACCCATCTTTGCAATGCACGTTGGGCAACGTCACTACACTTCCAGCCTTGATAAGTCCAGATCCCTGAACGTCCTGCAGATCGTGGACATCGATGACATAGACAGCATTATGAGGAAGACCAAAAGTCTTGCCAAAGTAGTTGCGGCTGATTTCGGCGCGGTCGGCCTCGGTGCCGTCAGAGACGTATAGCTGGACAGCTTCCCCGAATGTGCCTTGGTCGATGTCAAGGATCTATCAGACGGTCAGCGAGCATCGGGGAGCCACAAGAGAAACATACCTGGACTGTGGCATCGACGTAATCTCCCACCTCGATCTCTCGCAACGGTCTGCGTTTGCGTTTAGAACCACCTCTGTAAAACGGTTCATCATCGCCCTGAGCTCCGTCCCCAAGAGCCAGCTTGTGCTGCTCCCTCAGCGCTGCAATTCGGCTACATTCGAAGCGTCAGCAGAACCATACTGTGCATCGGGACCAGACTCACTCTTTGACGATCTTCGCCCGGTTCCCTGTTACCAGCTCCACACTCTTCGCTTCGATGGTCCTTCCCCGCACTGCCTGTTCTCTCCACTCCCACGAGAACGCAAACGAAGCATCACTTGGGTGCAATCGGCAATTCACATTCGGCAGACCAACTACGTTGCCTATCCGTAAGTTGCTAGCTCCCCAAATAGCCCTATGACTATCGGGAATGTCGAAAACATAGACAGCGTTATGTGGTAGACCAAATGTGGCGTTGCTGTAATTACGGTTGGGAACACCGGAGGGTCGGTCGGCAACAGTACCGTCTGATACGTACAGCTCTTTGGAAATGGGGTCGATGTGGAGAATCTACAATAGTCACCATCATGTCAAGGGAAGACGGAAGGCATGAACGTACCTCGACTGTGGCATCGATGTAATCCCGGACATCGGCATCCCTGAGAGGCTTCATCCTCTTGCGTCGATACTCGGACAAAACAGGGATAGGGGCAGAGGCAGCAGCAACGCGCGAGGAAGAGCTGTCACTAGTTCCAGAGTCTTCTCCCTCAACAGAGCCTGTCGAACCCGCGCCTGTGTTTTCGATCGTGCTGATAGGTTCCTCTTTCACCACCACATGACCTCCCAGAGCTACGATTCTCCTATCCCTTATGGTCAGCTTATATCACACACGCGCGCAGAGACTCACCTCTCCACCGCCCGCGCCACCTCCCCTCTCTCCAATTTAGCCACCTTCGCCCTCAACGGATCATCCTCTGCCCCCGCCTCTTTCCACTCCCAAGTATACACAATACTCCCATCCTTCCTATGCCGCGTCGCATGCACATTCTCCAGCGTCACGACATTTCCGTCTTCCATGTGCTCGAATCCGCCCACTTCGCTGGCGTTTGGGACGTTGATGACGTAGACTGCGTTGTGGGGGAGGTTGAACAAGAGGCCGCGATAGTTGCGATTAAAGCCGCCGTGTTGAGCTTCGGTGCCGTCGGTGCAGTAGTATTCGACGGTCGTTTTGAAGTCTATTTCTTTGCGCAGGATCTACAGAAGTCAGCTGTAGAACAAACGGAGATCGGAATACTCACCTTGACAGTAGCATCGGCATACTCGCCAGGTTTGATATCGCATAGTGGTCTCATCTTCTTTGATTTGTAGGCGGATGGACCGTTGGTGGTAGGGCCAGTAGCAAAATCCGGCTTGAGCTGTATAGCCTGGCCCATCACAGGCTTTTGTGAGGGTGGCGTCAAGCACCGCTTGCCCCACTCGAACATCGCCTTCATCCTTTCCTTCTCCATCTCCGAGACGTGTGCCAAAAGCTTCTTGTCCTCAAAAACAAACTCATCCTCGCCCTTATACACCACCGCACCCTTTCCATTCCCGTCCCCGGACGCTGCCTTGAGCTTGAAGATATCTCTTGTGTCGGGCTGGAGCTGGACGATAGCGTTGCGCAAGAGGAGGACGGTGCCGCGTTGGAACATGTCAAATTGGGAGACTTTTGGCCGGAAGAGGGTACAGCTTGTGAATGAGCGCTCGGTGGGGTCGTCGGGATGGGGTTTGGAAGTGGCGTCGAGTAGATGTATGGTGAAGTTGGAATCCCACGACGCTGTGCCTCAGAGTCAGTTTGGTAGGAGATGTATTGGGTGCACTTACTGCCCGGTTTGGCGACGTTGCAATCATGGATGTATGCGATGATGTTGACCATTCTGCCGTTGACCAGGTTTTGGAGATTGGTATATTGCTACAGCGCGTAGTCAGAATAGTTGCGAGAAGAAGTAATGAGACTCACAGGAATCGGCTCTCGTAGTCCCGGTAGTCCAGCCTTTTGTAGACGCTCAGAGATCTCGGCTTCGGCGGGATGGAGCTCGAACAATGGTGAAGCGGCAGCGGCCGTTGATCCTTCAGGTCTCATTGAGACCGAGTAGGTGACAGGAGGAAAAGGTGCCCCGGCCGGCCTTGTGTTGACATTTGGCGGGGGGTTCGGTAACGTCGAGGTGCTGCCCAACCTCGAAGGCCCACTGACAGCCGGCCCGTCCTGCTCTGTTCTAACTTTCTTTACTGATGGAATGCCCCATTCACTGACGCGCTTCGTCGGCAAAGCTTGAGACGCATTGGCTGTTGAGACGGTAGGGTTCGAGGTGATTTGAAGAGCAGAAGCATTGGCGGAAATAGCAGGTGAGCGAGATGGTACGTGAAGGGCTTCCGTGGCGTTGAACCTCTCCATAGGTAGTGTCGGATCGTCTATCATACCATCAGTAGCCATCGGAGTAATCACAGCATGACTGACCCTTGAAGATATACCCATTCCTGTTCCCAGGTTTAACTATCTGCATCCTCCCTATCCCTCTCAAAAGCACGGCCCATTCCGTCCCTGAAGCCCCTTCGCGGGGCGTTTGCAGCACGCTTCGGACTTGGAGACTTCCGACCATGAAAACCGTCGCTTCCTTCTCCCCTCCGATCGCCTTGAGCTCGTCGTAACCATTGGACAGCAGTTTCTTGACAGAACTACACTCGCGCTTCGACTGCGGTGCCTCGCCGTAGGGATGCCACTTGGAGGGGTAGAGTTGGATGACGTGTTTGATTACGTGGGCCTTGTTCGGATGACCATTTCCATTTGGATTTGGAGGATGACTTGATCGAGTTTCGACCGTGAAGAGGAGGCAGGAGGGTTTGTTGGGGGTGTCATGGTACTGAAAGGTGGTGACTTTGCCGGTGATGCTTCGTCCTCGCGGGAGGAGAGCACCTACTTTGAGGTCGTCAGGGACAGTACGTGTGCCAGCCATCGTCTGTGACCAGTCCAAGGAGAGAGGCAAATGCAAGAAGTGATAGAGAAAGTCCAGTCATCATAGCTCAAAGACGCGTCGACGCGTTGCTTCGGCGGGCATCGCCGCATGTCCCACTTGCTCTTTGTTTGGTTCCCATCTACTTTTGACGCTCGTCCCAATATTGGGGCTGGCGCTGCTGCAGAGAGAGTCCTACCCAAGTCTATACATGCAGCTATGGAATGCTTCCCATAGACCTAGGGTTAGAATGACGCGTTATAGTCTGCATCACCGGCACTTGACAATGCCCGTCGGCCAGTCCCCTGCCGGCACGACGGCTCAGCGTTCTTTTCTGTGCATCTATATCTCATTCATTCGCTGCACCCCCCCGCACCTCAACCATCGACTGGCCATGTCTACGCCTACCCCTGTCACTATCCTCGGCAGCACTGGTCTCACCGGCTCCGAGACTCTTCACGCCCTCCTCACCTCCTCACACCCCTTCTCCATCACCACCGCCACCCGCCACCCGCCGCCCCATCCCTTCCCCCTTCCCCAAATGCGAACCCCCAAACGCCCAAACAGTCCTCGACGAACGAATCTAGCCTTCGCTCTTCGATACTCCCGCCGATACTGCCCGAAGAAAGCTCGTACAAGAGGGCGAAGTGTATGTGTCGTGTCTGGCGACGACGAGGGTGAATGGGAAAGAAGCGCAGGAGAAGGTGGATTGGGAGCTCAATAGGGATCTTGCTACTAGAGCCAAAGCCGACGGAGCCAGAACAGTGAGCGCTATTACTTCATCTTTAGCCATCGCAATCAAGTTTCACCTTCGACGTGAAATTGACGATCCCCAGGCTATCCTCGTATCCGGCTCTCACGCATCTCCCGACTCGTCAGTCTTCTACCTCCGCATCAAAGGTCAGCTCGAAGAGCACCTTACCACCCTCGGCTTTGACCATGTCGTTAACCTCAAGCCGGGGATGTTGCTTGGCCCCAGGGAGAGGGTGGATTGGGCCGAGATTGGATTGCAGAAGCTTTTTGGGTGGGCGAGATGGGCCGGGGTTGGCACGGACGCGTTGGCTGTTGATGGGAAAGAGCAAGTGTGATGAGGTTCCAGGGGAGTGTGTAAGCTGATTCGGGGTGCAGTGTTGGGGCTTGTATCGCAAACCTTATCGAGAACCCTCCTCTTGAGAAACATCTGATCTTAGGGAACAGGGATATCATCGCTCGTGCAAGATCGCTTCGAGCGTCCAGATAGATGAGCCGGTCCAAGTTGTTCACGTGATTATATACAAGTATACCACGAGGGTATACACCTTTGCTTGTTGTTTGTAGGATGTAATCGTGCGTCAGGAAATACAGCTATCAATAAACGAGTATGACGGTATTTTAGCAAGCGATTTCCAGTCTGGAAACAAGTCGTGTCTTGCATCGATTCTGACCATTGTCTCATCTATTCTGCCGGCTTTTCTCTCCCGTTGTTCGCTTGCTCACTGACCTCTCACTCTCGCACGATACGACATGCGGGATACGACCTTGCGACATGCCCCCGCGCCGAGATCGTCTCTCCTTGACCGTATTTATCCCCGTCCCAGCCCTTTTCCTCTCAACTCGTTTTCTCATTCTCCAATGTCGTCGACCAAACGCCAACTCCGCCTTCACATGGTCCACCCATTTTCCATCTGTAGTTGAACAAGGCGACAACGAAAGACATCCGGATGAAGACGTCAGCTGCGACAGTTGGGAGACTTGGTGAGAGACGCTATACATGTATTAGCTGATGCTCGGACTCGAGGAAGCGGAAGAATTGTACCGGTCAGAGAGAAGCTAGTACAAGCGGGTGGAACATGCGTCTCTAGATTGGCAAAGACAGAGGTGGATACCAAACGAACCAAAGGTGAAGGACGTGATGAAAGTGGGACTATATGACAGTGACTGAGAAGAAGGTATTAAATCTGCAATATACACTCGACAAACAAGACTTACATCTCCTGATCGGCAGTCATATACTACTATTCTTGTATCGTGGTTACTCATCGTAGCCCCGGACTGGAGTTCGTGATCTACCTCCATGAGCATAGAACACGATGATCGATACAGCAGACTCACATATCACCAGATTCCGATAGTAGCTCCCCGAAGTTCACACGTTGACTCTTCTTCCGCAACTGCAACTCGCTCTCACTGATGGGCACATCCCCCGGAAACCGATAAAGCTCGTACTCAACCGGATCCGGCCCCCACTTATCCCACATAGCAAACCACCGATCCTCGAAACCTTCTTCGTGTAGTTCCAGTATCTTCTTGACGTAAAAGATGTATAGCTCACTGAAAGGCGATTCATGACTCCAATAAGCGTCGAGCGGAGCCCAATTGCCCATGCCTTTGAGGATCCATCTACGAGAGCTAGGTTTTTCGGGGTTGGTTATGAGGGACTCGTAGTTGGGTGGGAGAGGGTCGTGCATAAAGGGGAGATAACCGATCCGTTCCCAGGAACTGATATGCTTCATGACAAAGCTGAGTTCGTCTACCATTGGAATCAGTGGATGTACAAGGGACTTGACTAGTCTGAGAGAGACTTACCCCAATAGGCTTCGTACTATTCCAAAGCGGAAGATTAAGCTGCAGATACTGGTTTAATGGATACAAGACTTACTTTTCGGAGCAGCTCAGAGATGGTCTCTAAATCTTCTGTGTATTCCTGCTCAAGACCCCAATCTTGTATTGATGATTTGAGGCCGCCTAGAAAAGCGACTGTCCGACGGGAAAGGGCCCATGCCTTGCAAAAGTCTCTTCGGGATATCTGTGAACGCGCGTCAGAGCTTCGCCACCGGAATAGAGAGCACATACCGCGACCCCCTCAGGTCCCTTGAACCGGACAATATAGTAATGGGAAGCCCAATTGTCACTGAGTACATCGAAGCAATAGCTATTGGAGTTTAAAGATCCGCAATGCAGGATATCATTATACGGGCGGGCGGTATTGGAGATGAAGCGAGGGCGGGTGTCGTTGTCTTCGAGTTCGTCGTAGGATTGCTTGACCCGAAACATCCATTCGGAGAACATCCTGATGTCAAGATTTGGGCGATGAACCAAGCGGATGATATGTAGATGCCAAACTTCCGATGGTGATGGAGGTAAAGCGGAGTGTGCCGATGTTGATCTGCCGCCGTTTGCCCCAAACAACGCTCCAACGTCTTTCTCTTTTCCACCTTTTCTCACACACCCATCACACCAACCCTGACAATGTCATCCATCCCTCAGCCCGTCGCCCACCCCGCCACGCTCTCGCGCTTCCCCATGCGTGTCCCCCGGTGGCGGGAACTGGTCCCCATCATACCCACTGCCTGGCCTGGTCGGGATGACGGGTTCCACGGATGGCTGCTTGATCTTTGCAAAGACATCGCCGGCCAGGATGGGAGGGCGTACGACAAGTGGATAGACATCGAGTACAAGGAAATTGATTCTCTCGAATTGCCTCCCGAAGAAGTCAACATAGCGCGGAGCCTAGCCAAGAAAAGATTGATGACCACCGGGCATTTTTAGTCTGGGTCAAGGGTACGTTCTCTGGGTGTACATTCTGCACCATTTCCGAGAACTGACACAGTCATTAGCGATTATTCCTCTGATCCTATTTGAAAATTCAATTGTCGTCTGTCGTGTCGGGTAATACTTGTACCTTCCCCCTCCTTCCACGATAAGGCTAATGGCCTGCGTTTCTGAAAAGAGGCTGGCCGCACGGGAAGACGCTGGAGTGGACCGTCACCGGCGTGGTGGTCAGCGTGCCCCCATCAGCCAACATCAAATGGTTGTTCACCAATTGGGCCGTAAAGGCTCACCCGCTTCCGTTTTTCTGGGTGCAACGGTGGTCTTTTTGGCATGGTTCATAATCAACATCCTGCGGGCCGCCGCGCTTCTGGGCCAAGGCCTGGGTGGGTGGAAGGCTAGAATTGACCTGTCACGAGACTGACGCCCTTTGGTTAGCGGCGGATGCCTGAGGCGCCTCCATCAACCATACCATTACCTCCTTACCCGTCGCTGCTACGTGTTGGCAATAGTCTGTTTAGGGCTGTAGTCGACAACGTCAAGGCTACGTCGAGAGTTTGAGTAGTGAGACTCTTTACACATCACGATAGCTGTTTCGCATATATCACGAAGTTCCCTTACATATCTTACGAGAATTGTTATTTATGGACATGTATACATCCACTGAGATCTCCAACGACAAGACACGCAGCAGCAGCCGTGTTGGACTTGGCTGTACTCACAGTTTTGCGTCGTATAGAATGCTGGCCGTTCCTCCGCATCGAGCCTGCATTCAGCGATATCTCCCCGCTTTGCCGCTTATTTCCTCTCTTCAAGGACATCGCCGGTCATCAGGATGGAAAGCTCGTACGACAAATGGATCGATATCCAGTACAAGGAAACTAACTCTCTCGAATTGCCTCCCGAAAAAGTCAACAAAGCGCGGAGCCAAGCCAAAGAATACATCGATGCCCACGGGTAGTGTCTTTTGTTGCTGTCATCAATCTTGCGTTCGCTCCTACATTTCGTATATTCCTGAAAGAGCCAGCTCTCACTATATAAGCGAGTGCCCTGCGGGCCAGCCTGGTGAATGAGATTGAGAGCGTGGATAGGAGTTACACTCTCCTCCTTTCGGATCGGGGGGGAAAGGCTGATTTAGGGTGCTGTCGCAATATAGTGTAGGCGCCTGTATCGCTAAGCGCCTGTATCGAAAACTTGCTTGAACAACCTCCTATCATATCGACATGCATCTCGTCTTGACGTCTTGGGAGAACAGGGAGGTCATCGCGAGCGCTAGTCGCTTCAAGCGCCCAGACAGGAGAGCGGGTCCGGGTTGCAATGGCCATGATAGTCGTTTGATTTCAATGCAAGCTATGGGTTAATGAGACGGTACTCGTAGTGTGCAGGCATCTGAAATCGACTCTTCAGGAGAAGTCGTGTCTTGCATCGTTTCTGACAATAATCACAACTATTCCGTGGGACTCTTCCTTCTATCCTCTTTCCTGTCCTCTTCCATCCTTCTCTTTGATACACTTCTACCAGAACTAGCCTCAAACAATCTCACGATAAGATCGGCATCAAGCCCTGCGCTCGGCTCATCTCTCAATCTACCTTCTCCCCTTCTCCTCTTTCCTTCCTCTCTTCGCATTCTTCTTCTCAACCAGACATCATCTACTCCGCCTTGACATGGTCCACCCACTTCCCATCCTTGTCCTTGTGTCGCACGGTGAAGCACGCCAAACCAGTGTATTCACAACTACACACACCCGATCCTTATCAGCTCCCAGCCATGTCTTTCGAAAAGAGAAAGAGGGAAGAGTGACGTACATTTGCCAGATGACCTCACGGGCAAAGCGGATATAGTTGAACAAGGCGACAAAGAAGGACATCCAGATGAAGACGTTGGCTGCGACAGGTGAAGACTGGACCAATGGTTCGCTTTTATTCAAGTCAGCTTTGAGTTTCTGCGCAACAGGGCACATGATGGAATGGAAGACGGAAGGAGGGCGACGTACCGGCCGAAGAGAGAACCCATGTTGGCGTCGATAGCACCAAAGAGGGAGAAGATCATCATGCCATTCCAGTATGGGAAAGGTGATTTGGTGACGTGGGCAAGGATGAGTTGGGAGACCTGGTAAGAGAAGCTACACCAAGATCAGCTGATGCTCCGGCCGGAACCTGAAGAAGGAAAAGAGGAGACGTACGCCATGCCCCAGTACCCGATGAAAGGCAAGATCCTGTGGTCGTGCACGATACAAACCCCACCCCTGATCTCCGAGTGCAACCAGGCCACCAGAAGACCGGTGTGCGTGAAGAACGGCAAAAGACCGGCGAGAGGAGGAAGGATCGGCTTTCCGGCCTTGCGCCTGGCAGAAATGACGTTGATGTAGGATGTGGCAATGTTGCCGAGGGTACCGAGGGCACCGAAAGCCATGAAGGCGACGTTGGCGGGCACGGTCTCGAGGGTGACGTGTTTGGCGATGCCGAGGTGTTCGAGGAGGACGTCGACCTTTTGGACAAGAGGGTAGGTTTGAGGGATAACGAGGAAAAGGGGTTTGAGTAAGGGTTGGGCCCAGAAAAGAGAGCCGAGGGGGTGGAAGGCGGTGATAAAGTAAATACCGCAGATGAGGAGGATGCCTTCGACGGGGCCGGAGAAGGCGGAGAGGAAGAGGGTGCCGGTGTGGTACTCTTCCCAGGTGGAGACGTAAAAGTTGCACAAGGAGAAGACTTGAGAAGCGACTGTCCACCAGGAGCGGTTCAAGCCTAAGGCATGAGCTGCCAGCACCACTTCTAGCTGTTGTTGTTCAGCTAATGGACAATGACTATCGATGGCAGAAACGTACAGTAGTGTTGATAGCATCGCATCCATGGTCAAACATCTCTCCCAAGGCACTGGCCATACCCGTCCTCCTGGCTTGCTTGCCGTCGATCGCGTCCATACCTAGACACCATTAGCTCCACTCTATAGGCAATGATGAGAACATACTCTGGTAAGCAAAGAGACCGATACCGAAGCTGAAGCGGTATCAGTACTAGGCTACATCTTGTTAACCGATACACTCACGAAGCATAAACCCAGTTGGGCAGGACGACACCCGCATAAGTGGGATCAAACCAGATCATGGTACCAATGTTGGTAAAGATAAAGCATAGTCCCAAGAAAGTGATGGTGTTGGGCGCGATGGTCTTGGGAAAGAGGGTGACGAGCCAGTTCCAGAAGGGGTTGAGGAGGTACTTGCTGACGACGGACTTGTCTACGCCCGAGTACTTGTACTGGTCGAGGCCGTTGAACTGCGCCTTGGTTATCCGCATGCTGGAAACTTGAAGAGCGACAAGAGACGACACAAAAAGAAACGTGGACAGTGGATGCCAAGTGGATGCGCGAAAAGTGTCTCTGACGTACCCACAGGCACGCTTAATTAACCTCCACTCTGCGCGTTATTACTTCTTTGTTTGGCTCGGCTGCTCGCATTGGGTTAAGCCTTAATGACGTTCTGCCTACACTTGGAGGTACCCATATATACACCCTCGATCGACACTTATAACTCGAGTATTGAACGTGAGATGTATATCAGAGAGGGGCAGAGCCGGAATTCAATCTTGTACTTGACGGCGGATGTCGTACCTCCTCGCGCGTATTACGTACAAACAGCGAGAAGGAGCCGCCGCGGCCGGCCGCCGCCGGGCCGCCGACGAGCTTAATTTGTTTGAGAGATCCGCCCATCTCTATCACCAACTTTGACAATCTTTCTAAGAGTCTGTGAATCGTCTCTTCACACTTTTCGAAGGGCAAGTCAAGCAATCGACGCTGTGGCCCAAGGAGAAAGTCGAAAATGGGGAGGTTGTATTCAAAATCGTTTCCGCCGACAATGTGGAGCTTTATGTCCCCGATTATATCCTTAAGGCGCACAGGTGAGCGCTACTGTATCTCTGGCGATGTAATAAGACAAAGAATGGTAAAGCTAACACAACACTATACTAGTGAGGTTCTTCACACGATGATCAATGACTTTGGGGCACCTGCTGCAGAAAATCAGAAAGGCCGCCATCTTATTGAGTTTTCCGACCCCAAGATTGAGAGCCACAACATCCTGCACATCTTCTTGACCGCTATCACTCCACAGAAGGATCTCTTTAAGCCGATGGTGCCTTCAGATCGGAGGGTGGTCCAGGAGATACGCTGCTGTCCGTCATGAGGTTCACTGAGAAGTGGGACTGTCAAACGGCGGGCAAAAATCTGACCAATGGTCTGCTGGAGCTGGCCAGACAAAGGTCGAAATCAGAATGTCATCACTCCTATCGACATTTTTGTTGCTGCCGCCCAGCTAGACCTTCCCTATGTTGCTGCCAAGGTCATCGAGGTCTACACTATAGCCGACATCGTCTCAAAAGTGCCTGTGACCTGGCCTGTTCTCTCATCTCACGCAGAATTCGACATTGAAAACTTGGAACCGAAGGCTTGGGAAATGATACCTGGCATCTATATGCGTGCACTCTACCGAGCATCGACTCCATTCTACCCGCTTCAATCTCCTCATTCGGCCAACAATTACTGTACTCGATGCCGTCAATACACGACGAAGAATTCTCAGAAAGCTGCCAAGTTCTTGGAGGAAGTGTTGGCCCCTTCAAAGGAGTGATACGAGACGTCTGTATTCTGGTGAGTAAATCCTCATCATCGCGCTTGCGCACTGATCCAACGACCTGCTAATGACCATCAAAACAGGCGGGCTTTACATACTTTGCAAGAAACAAGACTTCATCTCATCTGGTTTGTATCTATCGTCCAACGTTACCGAGCCACCGTATGTCAACCATGTATTGCTGCTAGAAAATCCCCAGGAAGCCCACAGGGCCACTCTCACATTCGTTCGTCGTTCAATCTGCCCTTACGCGCGCACGCATCATTATTCCCCACCATGCGGAAACTTATTTGTTTGGCTCGGCCAGGGATCAAATGCTATCATGTAATTTAAGTCTCGAGTGATGCCCTGCTTATTCGAGATACACCCGCCCGCTTCTAGCTTATGGGCTGCAGCCTTTATCGCGGAATGTATACCAGACTTTCAATGACGGAAGACCATCATTCGATGTCGTACCTCCTCTTACGTGTACCACGAGCGGGAAGGAAGGCAATCTCAATTCACAGGAGATCCCGCATCCCTCTTCAACGATATACCTAGATACTCCCACACCCAGACAACACGTGTAGTAATGCCTGAACAGATGGGAACGCCTAACAACTCTACGACTTGCGCAGGAGGCAATGTGAAATCCCAGCAATCAACGATATGGCCGTCGAAAGGCAAAGAGGTAGAAATCAAGGTAGTCTCTGCCGACGGCATCGCGCTGTATGTGCCCGAGCATCTTCTGAAGTCACATAGGTAAGATGCATGGTCGATAGTAGGCCAAGAGTCTCAAAGCTGATGGTACTATCAGCGAAGTCCTGCGCTCCATGATCAACGATATCGGAAGTACCGACACCCGCCTCATAGAGTTCTCCGACCCCGACATTGAAGGCTACAAGACCCTGCATCTCTTCCTCGCTGTCGTCACTCAAAACAGCCTTGAGGGCGCCATTGCCCGGGATGAAACCGGCGGAGGGCGGGGAGAGACATTGCTATCCGCCGTGAGGTTTGCAGAGAAGTGGGACTGCGGAATGGCCGCCCAGCTGATGACTCTGTATCTAATGGATCTGGCTAGGAGAGGCAGAGACCAAGATATCATATATCTTTGTTATCGCCGCTCAGCTGGACCTACCTCACATCGCGGCAAAGGTCATCGAGCTCTACACACCCAAGACGGATGCAGCCGACTCTGCTTCAAAGTCGCCGACATCGACTTGGCCTTTTCTGTTGTCGGGGGGACTGGTTGACATTGGTAAATTGGAGGACGAGGCTTGGCAAGTGATTCCTGGCAAGTATCTCCGAGCGCTCCATCGAGCATCGACCAATTCCGCCGGCGCGAGACTCTGTAGTTATTGTAATGATTATACTAGCAAGGAGGCAAATAGTGCACAGAGAGCTGCAAAGTTCTTGGAGGAAGTGACCGGTCCCAAAAAGAATTGAATTATGGTGAGATGCTCTGAGGCTTGCATGACTCCAGGCTGACCATCATCAGGGGTACGTTATGCGTGATGGTCGATGTCGTCGGTCGCTCTTTGCAAGGACGACCCCCACCCATTGATCCATGGATGCAGAGAGACTACGAGTACAGTATATTCAAAGTCATGCATTGCTACCAAGAAGCCCACAGGCCCCAGGGCCACTCAGCTTGTCACTTTCGTCGTTCAACTTGCCCTAAGTACGCAGGCACGCTTAATTAACCTCCACTTCGCGTCTCCACTTTCCAGACGCGCTCGCTGAAGATTGGCTGAAGACTTCTTCTCAAGCCTTTCTCTATTGCAATCGAATCTTCTCCCGCCCATTATCCTCCCCCATTCTCCAACACAGCCATACGCTTCCCACATCCAACCTCGACAATGTCCAAGCGCCCCATCAGCCCGCCCGCGGACGGCCCTCAAGAAGAAGGCAGAGACGAGCCCCATCAATCGAGACTATGGCCGCCGATATCGCAAGATAGCAGCAATGAAGCCGTCACCAAGATCATCTCTGCGGACGATGTAGAGCTGTATGTGCCCGAGCACCTTTTGAGGTCACATAGGTGAGCGTCTGGCTTCTCGAGCAGGAAAGAAGCTGACAGACTGGGCAGTGTCGTTTTCCGAACCATGCTCAATGATATCCCATCCCCTCCCCCAGCCAGCGGCAACTCCCATCCTATCGAACTCACCGACCCCAAGATCGAAGGACACAAGACCTTGCACCTTTTCCTGGCTATCGTGACTGGCGAAGATCTGAAAGACGCCGTTGCTCGCGATCAGATTGTAGGAGCGCGCGGGGAGATGTTGTTGGCTGTCATGCGGTTTGCCGAGAAATGGGACTGCCCTATAGCAACCCGTCTTTTGACATTCTCTTTAATGGAGCTCGCTGGGAAAGGCCTGCACCAAAGAGTGGTATCGCGTTGGGACATTTTTGTCATTGCTGCGCAGATGGGTCTGCCAGAGATCGCTGCCAAAGTCATCGAGGTCTACAGAGCGGACATTGCGAGCTCTGATCCGGAGATTTCTTCTTACCCACCACCCTCTTGGCCTATTTTCCTGGGGGCCTATCCCGAATTCGCCATTTCCAGCCTCAAGCCCGAAGCGTGGGGTGTCATACCGAGCCATTATTTGCACGCCCTTTATCGAGCATCGACTACCACAGCTCTTGGTGATGATAATCAAGATTGGTGTGAAAATTGTAATTAATTTGGTGAAGGCAAGTGGGAATATTCTACGAGAGCTGCAAAGTTTTTGGAGGAAGTGAAAAAGTGATTTCACGAGTCTTGTAAAGTGAGTTCGCGTCATAATTGCCTTGCAGCCTGCCTAGTACTCCCCCGCTGACTATTATGCAGGCTATGTCTATGTGTGTACTGTTTGATAAGGGCGATCCAGGGGAGCGGTCTACTGGGCCGACCTTGTTGGGGCGACGCGGCCTTACTTGTGTCGGTCATCTTCGAGGTCGGAGAAGCTCTTCCTCCCCACTCTTCGACGCCGGCATCCATCGAAGCCCCCTGCTAGCGCATTTAGGAAAAAGTACATGTATCAACGTATACTTTGCAAAGGGATAAGAGTATCTCTTAAGCCTCTGTATCTGAGAGTCTTTCAGGTTTCAGCGTCCATAGATCAACTGGTGCTTTTTACGGCACAGAGGCACACGGCTTGATTAACCTCCACCTCGCGCGTCCGCATCACTCAGCACTTCGAGATGTCCTTAATCGACAACCACTCTGAACAATGTCCAAGCGTAAAAAAGCCCCTTCCATCCCCACGCCTCCCTCAGTAGAATCAGAGAATCGCCAATCGACACTATGCCCCCCTCAAACGGGAGACGACGACAGTACGAAAGCCGAAAGAACCTGTTGTCAAGGTCATCTCGGCGGACCGGAGGGAGTTGTGGTTGCCGGAACACCTAGACTGTATTGAGAGCGCATCGTTCCGGAGTAGGTAGTATCCCATCATCATATAGTTCATCCTTCACGAATATAAAAAAAGACATGTTCAGAGTGAAAGTGTAAAAAAGCGAAGCGAAAAAGTTGACTAGGTTAACAACGAACAAAAGTCTGTTTCTGTCTTGATAGAGACGTTCACAATACGAGTATCTGATGAAAAGTATTCACAGCAGAGCAGAATGATGATGATGATACGTGAAGTGGGATAGTGGGGAGGCATAAGAGCGAAAAAGTAAGGGCATAAGGCGAAAAGCGAAGGGGACAGGTACTATAAGAACGCAACATTGAAGCAGAGAGACATGGCCAGGTGGGACTGGGTGCGGGGGGGTTGAGATGATTTAGTCAGACTCTTCCTCTTCGCTCTCCCTGGGGTCTGGGTCAGTCAT